GATATACCTACATTAGTTTATCAAGTAAAACCGGAACTAGAATTAAGATGTTTCATTTGACTTTATAGCATACAACTTAAGTTTATTACCATGGCGAATATTTTCCAACCCAACTTTCGCCAATTGTGATGCTTGTGGAGACAGCATTTGGGCAATCAACGAAGTCAATCGAATACATCTATTTGTAAACTTCACACGAATCGTGATTGATGGCCAATTGAAGCAAATAAGTTGCAGTGAAAACGGAATATTTGCCGTGGCCACAGATGGGACAATTTTCCAACGAACTGGAGTGAGTAGTTCGAATCCCCAAGGGACGAAATGGGTTGGATATTCAAATGGACTTTTAACACAAATCTCGTCTGGGAATTTTGGGGTGCTTTGGGGAGTTAGCTTAAAAAATACGTCAGTCTATCACCATCGAGACACATGGATTGATTTGGGTGAAACGTGTTCGTGGGTGTCCTGTGGTGGTTTAGGCTGTTGGATTGTGAATGTCAATGGCTCGGCTAGTTTTAGGTAAGAAACATTCGGGGGCGACGGTAGGGGGGGGGGGGGGGGGTGTCGTCAGGTAGTCGGCAAAGTATTTAATCCAGGTTGGCAAATTGCTTTCGTAGTCGGAAAAACATGAACTAAAAGAAAATTAATTCGAAAAATAAAATGTGCGGAAAAAGTGATTTTGTGAATCCACCAACCCCCCCCCCCCCCCCCCCCCCATTCAAATAGGTCTAGCGCCGCCCTTGTAAATATTGAATATTTTTGCAATAGTACAATGGACTCGGACACTGCTTGTAACGTACATAGCCGTCGTTAAGACGGCAACGTCAGGATGACGGCTATCAATACAATGACATTAATCCTATAGCACAAAAGAAATGAATAATAAAAAGTCTAGCAGAGATTTTACACGTCATCCAAGCTCTGTTGACAACGGCAAGACGCATATTTTCACGTCTTGTAAAGTACGCTAGCATTTCAAGCCATAGCAGATAGTTTTTTCAGCAGAGTTGATCAAAATTGCTCTGAAGGTTAAAGCTCTGTTTTACTTGTTCATTTATTCGAAATTTTTACTTAAATTCATACGAAAGTGAATTGAAGACAATTATTTCCATACAATCATTTATTTCAAACAGTTTGTTCAGTTAGCCGTCGTTCTGGCGTCATCCTCTCGTATGCCCTGTGAAAATATACTAGTATTTATCAACCATTATAATATTATTGTTAATATTTGAATTTAAAAATTTATATAGGACTGGTGTGAACTCAAGTGATCCTGGAGGTCTGACGTGGGTCAACACTGGAGGGTCATTTAAGCAGTTGGATACAGGGGTTCACGGGCAGGTCTATGCTGTGGATAACGAGGGGCAAATGTATACACGTGAGGGTATTAGTGCAGGGGACCCGGTGGGATATAAATGGTCGAAAGTTGGAGATGAGAGATTTCTTCATGTCAGTGTTGGCGATAAATTTGTGCTTGGCATTCATGAAACAAGCGCTATCTATGCATTGCCTTGATATTTAACATTAAGATGAGAACATTTTGTATGTTAGGTACCACGCGCAGAAACTAATGCCAATATTTAATTCAATTTAATTTTTAACTTTCAATCCCACAAATTTATTTGGTCAATAATGCATACAATATATTATCAACACAGTTATATAAGAATTAATAACTTGAAGATCCAAAAAACGGATTGGACACTTGAAAAAAACCCATCGGTAAGACACCTGCCAATAATTTAGTTTTGTTCACATAAATGTTACACAAACGTAAAGAAGTATGTTTAGTACTTTATCTGTAAAATTATCATGCTAAAATGATGACATATTAGATGGCACGCCAAAGAGAAAATCATGCCTGACGTTCGTCAAACTTCAAATCGTATTTCAAATCGTATACATCAATATTAATGTCTCTACTGATATATATAATGCTAAATGCGTATAATGCTGATATAAATAATAAGTAAAAAAATAATATTCCAATGCGAATGCGTGGTCTAGCCTATTTATTAGGTTTTGTGTGGCGGCTGTCTGCGAATAGTAAATGACGTGAATCAAAACACACTTCCATGTTTGGGAAATGTTTTAAAACTTTGCGGATTAATGTCTACGAGACGTACAGGTCATCTTATTAACTATGCATTATTTTCCGAGTGTCTGTATAGCAACAGAATTCTAAAGAACATCACAGTTCTTCTACGACGATGAAAAGAATTTGTCTTAACCGTGTTTTATTTCTTTTTTGCGTCTGTATTCTCGGCTGCCACGAAGCTCATGCAATATGTGGTGGTGAAAAGGAACAGCGATTCATTAAAATTTCCCAAGGTACGTGAAACTGAACCAGGCTACTTCATGGCGCGTGTTCCCCTAGAAACGCAGGCTACGTTTCCACTATAACGGATACGGCTTTCCTTAACGGCGCGAAAAAGCACCTATCCGATACGGAATGTACAACTTTCAGAAGCTGAGCGAAACAACATCTCTCCGTTGCAATAATTCCTCTGGAAACAGCGTTCCTAAAAAGTACGGATAGCTAGGTGTTTCTACACGTCGCTACGCAAAGCTATCCAGTACAGTTCATGATGTGCATCTCCAAATGAGTGTTGTTGTTAGAACATATTTGATTCGTTGGATATTATAGTAATGGCACCTTGAAGTAAACTGAACTCAACTCAACTCGTTTTCATTTGCCTGGGATTAACGAATTCAGAATAGGCTTTTCAAATCTCGAAACTCATGAATGTCTTCTGAACAGCTGTGAGTATTGATTCAAAAACTTCACTCGATACTAAATTTTCATTATTTCAGATGGTTTGGCAGAAGTTAATCCTTTCAACAGAACGACAGTCGCCTCGAATGTGTTGTGTTCGTTCGACTGCGCTAGTCGTCTTCCTTGTTGGTCGTTTGTTTACTTAAAACAAGCGACGACAGAGAATTGTTTGCTAAGCAGAGATGCCAATGGTGGCAGCAGCAGTGAAGATAGCGAGACATTCATAGGTACAACGAAACGACCAAATATTGATGAGGCGGTAAGTTAAATAAGGCCCCGTTCTCTAGTCGTTAATGTGTACACGCGTAAAAACGGGCAAGTTGTAACAAACCTGCAGCAGACTTGTAGCAATGCTGTTCCAACAACTTGTCAACAGGATGTGTTCGCCCTGCTTGTTCCCAGCTTGTTGACAAGTTGTCAACGACTTGTGCCAAACTTTCTACAAGGTTGTTGAGCTCAACCGCAGACTTGTTACAATACATGTTGTTCCAACAACTTGTCAACAAGTTGTGAGTGACAACCTTGTAGCGACATGATAAAATAACAGCATTGTTACAACTTAAAAAATTAGTTCGTTCACTGCAACCAGGTACATCAATCATGTTTCGCTCGCTACTCTGGTTTAAATAAATGATTACAAAGCCCAGTCGAATTGTAATCAAGACCCTAGGGTCTTGATTACAATTGCAGGGTCTTGATTACAATTCGACTGGGCTTTGCAATCATTTATTTAAACCAGAGTAGCGAGCGAAACATGATTGTTACAACTTGTTGACAAGCTTGCTACAAGCCTGTTGCGAACACATCTTGTTGACAAGCTTTTTATGTGTGTATATATGAAGACAGTATTAAGAATGGAGTCTGGAATATTCCCGATCCTGTTGTTTCTTGTGTTGTTTGGTTTTGCATTTTATTATCTTTGATGAAAGAACGAATCATTTAATTCTGTCGTTTAGGTGTGTGATCACGACAAATGTCAGCGAGGATCAAAGTGTATTGCTTGTTCCTCTGATAGTTACGAATGTGAATGTCCGCCGTGGGCCAGTGGACGCCTCTGTCAGAACCTGAATCCAGGTATGTTTTCCAGTGATCTCAATATATTTATCTGGGGCGAGAATTTGAGACTAAAAAGTGAACCGCGTAGACAAAACAATAGAAAGGGACTGGACCTGACGTCCTATATCTCTTCCATTTCCAATCTCGTTCCTCGAGCCTGCGATCCTCGGGAAGGAACGCGAGGCTCTGGGATAATCCGTTGCCGGAAGCCAGGAATCCTGGCTAAGATTGAACTGCGCATTCCATTTCAACAGCCAATCAGATTCCTCCCTGAAACGGATTATCCCAGAGCCTCGCGTTCCTTCCCGAGGATCACAGGCTCGGGGAACGAGATTGTTCCATTTCCGCCATCTTGGCAAGGAGTGTGCGGAAATTTCGTATTTGGACTTCGATTTAATTAACAATAGAGACCTTACGATTTTAGGACGGCAACGGCTACCAATACAATAGATAACTGAAAAGAATTGAGTAATTACAATAATTTGTCAATATATGAATAATTTAGACATTGTCCTCGCTCTGTTTGCAACGCAAAATCACAGATTTTCACGTCTTGATACAACGGCTGCATTCCAAGCCGCAACAAGTGCAACTTCAAACTGGATTTAGCAGAACTCTTCCCAACCATAAAACCCATGTCTTCAACTTCTAAAACTGTATTAAATTCATACGATTGATAACATACGACTATCTTTACTACCATTTATTTGAAGGAGTTTGTTTTGGCAGTCGTCGTTGCGTCGCCGTCCTAAAATCGTAAGGTCTCCATTTATTCGCCGAAGGCGAGGTAATTATCGGTGAATAAAAACCGAGACGAGATCGAGGTTTTTATTCACGATAATCGCCGAACCTGAGATGAATAATTGTTTTAGTATAATTTCATAGGTGATTATTTGGGAAAAAATAAAAATATAAATTTCTTTATCATTTAATTGACAAAACGGCTTCCGCCATTTCGAAAATCGCTTAGGTGATTATCGCGTTATAATCACTTCAACGGCAACCAATCAGCGTGGAGAATTTTCAATAATCACCTATATAATTATACTGAAGACTAATATTATGATTTTATGAACTGAAAACTTGATTAGCGATACTGTACATTACAAGTAACTGATTTGATGACTTTTGCTTTGGGGGAGGGGGGTGTTGACGCCCAGCACTTTATTCTGTTTTCACTTTATCTTACAGACTACAACCAAAGCCTGCTACCCTGGAAGCGAGGCAGAGGCTATGGGATAGTAACTGTTGATATCGCGTTCAACATAGCGTGGTGCACCACTAGTGATCATAAGATTTTTATCAACGTCAATGGACGAGATGGCACATGGGTTAATGTAGGTGGAAGGCTAAGTCAAATAAGCATTGGAGAGAGCGGAGTCTGGGGCGTATACACTACTGGTGCCATTTACTACAGAGGAGGGAAAACAGCATCAAATCCTAGCGGCACCGTTTGGTACCTGAATATTGGCTTGCTTATTAAAATTACTTCTGGACCTCCAGGTAAACAAAATTAATCTCCTGGAAAAAGTGTTTATTGTTCCTCGGATCTTGAATTTGTTCAAAAGTGCGCGCGTAAGAACAATGGAGAATTTAATGGCGTACATTACGCCATTATGTATGCGGCAACAACGTATTCTCGACTGTTATGTCTCAAAAACAGATACTAGGAAGTATATGATATACAGACTTGGACGAAGTTTCAAGTCCGAGGAGAAATAACATCTCATGCGAATAATTCACTATTTAAAGTGAGGTGAATTAATTTTGATCCAATCCTAGGACTGGATCAATATACTTCACCAAGTATCTAGTATTATCATGTGACCAAAATAAAGCAATATGGTTGGCTAATTTACTCGTTCCTTAAATGTGAAAATATTGTAAATATTCCTCAATCCTCTTGCTAACCTATACTAAATTTTATTATTCTGGATAGTTCTATCAGTTCCAAACTGTTCTCCCTGGGGATCCAGCAACGATCATATTTTATTGATCCAGTGTTACTACAGAAGGAAACCTATAAACTAAACCAAAACTGTCTGTACCAGTGTTGGTAGTACCAAAGTGAAAATGCTGTGCTACCACTCAGCACAGCATTTAAACTAAACTAACTTTATTTATACGGGATAGCTCTATCAGTTCTAAACTGTTCTTCCTAGAGGTCTAGTAAGATCATCTCTTATTGATCCAGTGTTGCTACAGGAGGAAACCTAAACTAAACTAACTTTAGTTATACTGGATAACTCTATCAGATCTAAAATGTTGTCCCTAGAGGTCCAGTAAGAATCATCTCTTATTGATCCAGTGTTACTACGGGAGGAAACCTAAACTAAATTAACTTTATTTATACTGGATTAGCTCTATCAGTTCTAAACTGTTCTTCCTAGAGGTCCAGTAAGGATCATCTCTTATTGACTCAGTATTACTACAGGAGGAAACCTAAACTAAACTAACTTTATTGATAGTGAATAGCTCTATCAGTTCTAAACTGTTTTTCCTAGAGGTCCAGTAAGGATCAACTCTTATTGATCTAGTGGTACTACAGGAGAAAACCTAAACTAAACTAACTTTATTTGTAGTGGATAGCTCTATCAGTTCCAAACTTTTCTTCCTAGAAGTCCACTAAGGACCATCTCTTAGGAGTTTGGCAGAGTAAAACTGGAAGTACTCTTCTTTCGAGCTAATATAAGGGGAAATTATGATCAGACAATTGCGGAGGAAGTTATTTGGCTGACCACAGAATGACATTTCGTCAAAACTTTTTTTTTCAAGATTGGTTTAGAAACAAACTTGGAGTAGGGTTAGGATTAGGGTTAGGGTAAGAGTTTGGAATAGGGTTAGTGTTAGTAAAGCCGTTGCTTTGTTGCGTTTTGTCATTCTGAGGCTAGCGAAATAACCTCTTCCGGGAATGAAAACCTCTTGCAGTAATCACTGTGCTCTTATGCATAGGGATAATTTGGGGAATCAACGTGTATGGCGTACTCTATCACAAATCAGGCGGTATGTGGGTATATATGGGCAAACCATTCAAATGGGTTTCCTGTGGCAAATTTGGATGTTGGGCTATAACCTCGGGAGGTTTGGCTTATTTCAGAGTTGGCGTGACAGGGAGTAATCATGGCGGCGATTCCTGGGTGAATACTGGCGGTTCATTCAAACAGCTGGATACAGGGGTGAGGGGTGAGGTGTACGCCGTGGACGATGCGGGACAAGTGTATACACGCGAGGGTGTTACCGAAAATTTACCCTACGGAACAAAATGGTCAAAATTTGGAAATATGTTGTTTAGCCATGTCAGTGTTGGGGAGAAAAGTGTGGTTGCTGCCGCGAGTAATGGGTATGACTACTGGTTGGACATACCGTAAAAAGTCTCGTTCTTGCGAATTTATTTTGGTTTTCCCGTAAATTTCCGAATATAAGCCCCCCCCCGTGTATAAGTATAGGTTATTTTGAGGCAACGAGGGGATATGTGATTGATTGTGAATAAACACATATCCCCGAGGTGCCTCAAAAGGACGTACTTATTTTTCACTTTGGCGAGGTTGCATTTTAGGAGACATAATAGAAAGAAATTCGTTATGAAAGACATTTAATAAAACGAGCCCCAAACACTGATCACTTTTGGGTAATCGTTCCATGTTTCGCGCACCAATATAGTAAACGTTATGTAATGGATATTATAGTGTACTGAAAAGTTAACTGGATACCTCCATATACATATATACACACTCTAACCCTATCCCTAACCTTAAACCTAACCCTAACCCCTAACCCTAATACCTAACCCCTAACCCTAACTTATATTGGTGCGCGAAACATGGAACGATAACCCACTTTTGTTTCAGAAAGAAAAAAGACAAAGCATGATGATGAGGGGGTATATTTGAGAGGGGAATATTACACCTAGGGATTATTAATCTATTGTTTTGCCTTTGAATGTGGTCCCTAGCTTTTCACACACTTAACTTGCAGGGGATATTAAATATATTTTCTCTGAAGAAAAAAGGAGACCGAGTGATGTGAAGAATAAGCCCACCGTATTCACTAACACTTAGGCCAATCCGAATATAATCCCCCTTCCGAATGTAGCCAGTTTTCCAACCGTATCGTAACGTACCGGACCGTAGCATTTTCTTTTGTATCGAAGTCTTTATTTACACTCTAGTGCTCGGTGTATACCCCTCCGTGTATAAGCTCCTCCTTGTAAGGGCCTGTTCATATGAGCCCATGCAGTTAACCGAGCTGGCCCGCTTTGCCGAGCTGGCCCGCTTTGCCGAGCTGGCCCGCTTTGCTTTCACATGAGGCGGGCTAGCCCAGCAATCATATCTATTCATATATAGTAACGATTTCCCGCGATATTTTAGCGGGAAAATAAAATTCGTGTTTATTTGGCAAAATTTTATTTTTGTCGACGGCAACAGCTTCAGGAGGTTTAATTTCGATAAATTCCTATAGTTTTGGACATTTTAGACTGTTTATCAGTGGAATAAAGCACGCAAATTTCCAGCCCGGTTGTGCATTCGTATGAGCCCGGCAAGCCGGGATCTCGCCTCGCACAGGCAAGATCCCGGAAAACCGGGCTGGCTCGCTTCTCATATGAACCCAATCCTAAATTAATATACAAACAATATGTGAGGCGGAATCTCGGCATTTGAAAACCAGCCCGGCTAGCCGGGCCAGCCCGGCAGAGCAGGGCTCATATGAACAGCCCCTTAAAACCATGGGTTTATTATTGGACAACAGCTCAAACGAGTGACGACAATTACATTACTGTATTATAATATATTGACCAACTTGTTTTATGTTAGAGTTATATACTGCTTGTTTAGCCTATATTTCTTTTCGTTGTTCACGGTATAGTTTACAAGTACAATAAATATTATTACTAACATCAAATGTCGTCCACTCGTCCGTATATAAGTTCTCCCCTCCGCCCTATGTATAAGCCCATGAAAAAATGCTTACGAATGAATAGAAGCCCAGGAATTATATTCGGAGGTTTACGGTATATACACTGTTTTTAACTCGTTTTGAGAAAATAGATTTTAATGTTTTATTATGTTTCATTGACCAAACAGCCACAAAATGTGTAAATAAAGCAAGGGTGACTATAGCCCCAAAAATTATTCCATTCACCGATGAACACGAAAAAATATTTTATTTTACGATTTCATCAGCAAAGTTGTTGGAAGAACATAAAGTCACTTTAATAATTGCAAAATTAATTGCACATATCATGCACATTTTGCTTCTATTTTAAACAAAAGGTACGCCTCTAGCTTAAGGAATAAAAAACCTAATCTTAATTAAAGGTGATCTACAGTCCGATCTGCGCATGTGCACAAATGAGCCCACTTTTTATGATGCAAACAGTTTAACTATGTTTTGAGTTCTTGAAAAGCCTGATTGTTGTTTCTTGATCATTTATTATTATACTCCAGAAGCTTGAAAATATAAATAGTTGTCGAATAAAGTTCAATATTTTGGACACAAAAAATATAAACAAAGGCTTTGTTTACATTCGGACTGTAGAGCACCTTTAATAAATAGCATATAATTAAACGCAACAAAATCACTTGTTTTTTTCCGAACTTGTTAGTGAAATATTCACATAATGTAAAATAAAATTCACATAAATTTCACATAATGTTAATAATAAAGAATTGTGATTTGTCATTATTTACGATTAAATTTAGTTTTAATTGACTAGTTGAATTGTGTTATATGTATTTAGTTTAAAATCAAGTTGCATTAAGCGTGGATTTTTAATACTGATACTAATATTTGTAATTTACTAATAACCACAACGTAAAAACGCACAAGTTGTAACAAACCTGCAGCAGATTTGTAGCAATGCTGTTCCAACAATTTGTCAACAGGATGTGTTCGCACTGCTTGTTCCCAGCTTATTGACAAGTTGTCAACGACTTATTGACAACTTGCTACAAGGTTGTTGAGCTCAACAGACTTGTTACAAGTTGTTCCAACAACTTGTTATCGTCCTGCAATTCAACAATTTGTCAACAAATTGCGAGTGACAACCTTGTAGCAACTTGATGAAATGACAACCTTATAGCAACTTGATGAAATGACAGCATTGTTATAACTTGTTCAAAGCTTGCTACAAGCCTGTTGCGAACACATCTTGTTGAAAGTTGTAAGATTTTTACATGTGTAACTGTCGGTAGAAATCTGACATAGCTATATTGCATTTTTTGAAACAGACTACATTCGTCTTTATATACACAAAGACAAGAGACTAATTACCATATTCAACAATATGCAAATATCATCCACGCACGCAGTCATCTGAAACGAACTGTTCATTGATTCCTTTGGCATACGTCTACACGTAAATCTCACGAAAATAAATCTATAAACACAAATATTGGACAAGCGGCTTCGCTAAATATGGTGGGGTTCTTTAGAGCCGTGTTTATTCTTGTCTCCTGTCAAGTTTTCGTGTGGAAATGCTCAGCTGAACTACCCGAATGTGGGAACGTATGTATTATTATATAAATCTAAATCTTTGTTTGTTAAACACGGTTCAAAATGGTTAAGACAATGTGGGGTTTCGTCGAGTGAAGGCCTTTCTTTACCAAGCTGGTAGATGTTTTATTCATCAAGTATGTTTTGATCGAATTTGTGGCGGTGTAAAGTCTCTTTCAGTCGTCTTTCAATGCAAAGTCTTAATTTCAGGCAGAAATTTGATGAGTGTCATACGCCTACCACACAGACATATAAATAACTCACGCGGCTGACAACCAGAGCAAACATCATCGGCATAGCTTCAGCTATAGTTTCTAACGAAAGGCCTTTGCTTGAATGCCATGTACAGCTTACTTAATAAATCAAGTTGTTTAAGAAAACACCCAAGTACATCGACACCAGCTTATTGTAGGCATTATTTATACTATAATTGTACACGTATATTAGATCAGTTGCTCACGAGCGGTATGTCAACATTTCCGTCATGTCTGACCCACGATAGCCAAGTGTAATTCTATTTCAGAAACGTCCTGAGAGATATGAAAACTAATCTCGTATTAATTCCGACACTGCCACTGGCCTGAGATATCGGCTATGGCTGCGACGGGAATTGTGAGTTCGAATTATCGAATTCCCCTCCGGCTAAGATTATATATAGAATCCGAAATTTTCGTTGTGATTCCACAGCCGTCAGAAATTCAGAATAAATATGAATTAGCCTGGGTAGCCGGGCTTCGTGTATAGTTCGATCACTGATAGAAATACACGTCTCCCGATCTACTTCAGTATTAAACATGAAATTAAGCTATAAAACCCCAGTCAAGTCACACATTCGGTTTCGTCAAGTCACGCATTTCAAGCTCTAGATTAACAAAAAACTTGATAAAGGTTTGACTCGGCTTGACGAATGTTCCAACTACCGACACGTAAAAATCTCACATCTTGTAGCAAGTCAGCCAACAAGCCGTCAACAAGTTCTGTTCGCACTGCTTGTCCCAACTGAGTTGTCAATAAGTATGGAACAACTTGTTTATAACACTTGTAACACTGTCAGACTTGTAGCAAGGTTGTTCCAAAAAGTATGATACAATTATGATATAGCAATATTGTATACAAGTTGTCAACAGCTTGTAACAAGCTTGTTGATACTATCAGACTTGTACCAAGGTTGTTCCAACAACTCTGATACAGTTATGATATAACAATATTGTACACAACTTGTTAACAGCTTGTAACAAGCGTGTTGATATTATCAGACTTGTAGCAAGGTTGTTCCAACAAATCTGATACAGTCATGATATAACAATATTGTACAAGTTGTTTAAACAGCTTGTAAGAAGCTTGTTGATATTATCAGACTTGTAACAAGGTTGTTCCAACAAATCTGACACAGTCATGATATAACAATAGTGTACAAGTTGATTAAACAGCTTGTAACAAGCTTGTTGATATTATCAGACTTGTAGCAAGGTTGTTCCAACAAGTCCGATACAGTCATGATATAACAATATGGTATACAAGTTGTTAACAACTTGTAACAAGCTTGTTGTTATTATCAGACTTGTAGCAAGGTTGTCCCAACAAGTCTGATACAGTCATGATATAGCAATATTGTATACAAGTTGTCAACAGCTTGTAACAAGCTTGTTGATACTATCAGACTTGTGAGCAAGGTTGTTACCAACAAGTCCGATACAGTCATGACATAACAATATTGTATACAAGTTGTTAACAACTTGTAACAAGCTTGTTGTTATTATCAGACTTGTAGCAAGGTTGTTCCAACAAGTCTGATACAGTCATGATATAACAATATTGTGCAAGTTGTTTAAACAGCTTGTAAAAGCTTTTTGATATATTATCAGACTTGTAGAAAGGTTGTTCCAACAAGTCTGATACAGTAATGTTATAACAATATTGTACAAGTTGTTTAAACAGCTTGTAAAAGCTTTTTGATATTATCAGACTTGTAGCAAGGTTGTTCCAACAAGTCTGATACAGTCATGATATAACAATATTGTACCAGTTGTTAACAGCTTGTAACAAGCTTTTTGATATTATCAGACTTGTAGCAAGGTTGTTCCAACAAGTCTGATACAGTCATGATATAACAATATTGTACCAGTTGTTAACAGCTTGTAACAAGCTTTTTGATATTATCAGACTAATGTAGCAAGGTTGTTCCAACAAGGCTGATACAGTCATGATATAACAATATTGTACAAGTTGATTAAACAGCTTGTAACAAGCTTGTTGATATTATCAGACTTGTAGCAAATTTTTTCCAACAAGGCTGATACAGTCATGATATAACAATATTGTACAAGATGTTTAAACAGCTTGTAACAAGCTTGTTGATATTATCAGACTTGTAACAAGGTTGTTTCAACAAGTCCGATACAGTCATGATATAACAATATTGTACAAGTTGTTAAAACAGCTAGTAACAAGCTTGTTGATATTATCAGACTTGTAGCAAGGTTGTTCCAACAAGTCCGATACAGTCATGATTTAACAATATTGTATACAAGTTGTTAACAGCTTGCAACAAGCTTGTTGATATTATCAGACTTGTAGCAAGGTTGTTCCAACAAGTCGGATACAGTCATGATATAACAATATTGTGTACAAGTTGTTAACAGCTTGTAAAAGCTTTTTGATATTATCAGACTTGTAGCAAAGTTGTTCCAACAAGTCTGATACAATCATGATATAACAATATTGTACCAGTTGTTAACAGCTTGTAAATGCTTTTTGATATTATCAGACTTGTGGCAAGGTTGTACCAACAAGTCCGATACAGTCATGATATAACAATATTGTTACAATCTTGTGTCGATCGTCAACCTTGTTACATTCTTGTTTATCATGACTATATCAGACTTGTTACAACAATCTTGTAACAAGTCTGATAATGCCATCAAGCTTGTTACTAGTTGTTAACAGCTTGTTCCAAACTTGTTACAACAATTGGGAACAAACATTGCGAACACAACTTGCTGACAGCTTGTGAACAGATTTTTAACGACTTGTGCGTTTTTACTTGTGTATTCCAAAAATCAATTCCTTTTCTGCTTGGGGTACACAGGTAAAAACGCGCAAATTGTTACAAGATCTGCAAACAAGTTGTAAGAAGGTTGTTGGAAAGCCGATATCAATATGTATTCGCGCTACTTTTTCCCAGTTGTTGTGGCAAATCTGGGGCAAGTTGTTATGATCATGTTACAAGTGATGAGGGTAACGGACTTGCTGCAAGTTGTTCCAACAAGACTAATACAGGCGTTCGTAACAAGTTGCTTCGAGCTTACTGTCATCAACTTGTTACGTGCAGACGGTATCAGACTTGTTGGAACAACTTTTTGCATGCGAGTCTGTTTGCCTCATCTACCTTGTTACAAGATGATAACAACTTGTCCCAGGCTTGTCAACAACTGGGAACAAGCATTGCGAACACATCTTGTTGACAAGCTGTGAAATTTTTTCGCGTGTAGGACTTTAGGTGATACAGTGCATTTTTTAAGGATTGTTCGGTGGTGGCGCAAAACTGCCAAAGAGCACATTTTCCTTGCCCTCCCCCTAGGATAGTATGCGATTGTTGAAGGTGTGAGGCGAGTGCCACAGGCACAAGTTCGCTAGGGAGATCTAAGGGCATGCCCCCTCCGCAGGAAATTATTAAAATTTAGGTCTCTGAAATATCTTTTCCTGCATTCTTAGAACGCATTTTAAAAAAATCTCAGCTTCTCAAAACAAAGTTTTAATGGTGAAATTTGTAATAATTGCACGCTAAACGTTCAAACACAACATAAATTTAAGTATGCTCACCAACATATTTTGTTCTTTTCAATGTTAAACTCATTTACTCGAACAACTAGGGCCCTGACTTTGGGACAATAGGCCATTTTTTTCTTCAGTGGTGGGGCAGAGGAAGGGGCCCAGTGGGGAAAATTACCCACCAGTCCCTGGTATTAAAAATGCCTGGAGGTGATGAATCTTAACGTGCATTATTATAGGGAGAATATCATTACGAATACACAGAGTGTGGCTCTGATGGTGGTAGATGGCATGTTCCAGTTCCTCACGATGCAACTCATTGTACCATTAAGGCCAAACCACCATTACACCA